ATCAATGTTGACAGTGTGTAGTGTCATCTGAAAGAGTTCTAGTACTTATTAAGATGATTAGCACAAAATTGGGAATTATGGGCACAATTTAGCACAAAATTATAGTAAAAAAAATTTGAAAATATCCATATTGGCAGTGTTTAGTGTCATCTGAAAAAGTTCTAGTACTTATTAAGATGATCAGCACAACATTTAGAATTATCGGCACAATTTAGCATAAAATGAGCGAAAAATTATAGTAAAAAATTGAAAATATCGGCACAATTTAGCACAAAATTATGGCAAAACAATTTCAAAATATCAATGTTGACAGTGTGTAGTGTCATCTGAAAGAGTTCTAGTACTTATTAAGATGATTAGCACAAAATTGGGAATTATGGGCACAATTTAGCACAAAATTATAGTAAAAAAAATTTGAAAATATCCATATTGGCAGTGTTTAGTGTCATCTGAAAAAGTTCTAGTACTTATTAAGATGATCAGCACAACATTTAGAATTATCGGCACAATTTAGCATAAAATGAGCGAAAAATTATAGTAAAAAATTGAAAATATCGGCACAATTTAGCACAAAATTATGGCAAAAAATTTGAAAATATCAATGTTGACAGTGTGTAGTGTCATCTGAAAAAGTTCTAGTACTTATTAAGAAGATCAGGACAAAATTTGGAATTATGGGCACAATTTATCACAAAATGAGCACAAAATTATCGTAAAAATTTGAAAATATCGGCACAATTTATCACAAAATAATAGTAAAAAAATGTGAAAATATCAATGTTGACAGTGTGTAGTGTCATCTGAAAGAGTTCTAGTACTTATTAAGATGATTAGCACAAAATTTGGAATTATGGGCACAATTTAGCACAAAATGAGCACAAAATTATCGTAAAAATTTGAAAATATTGGCACAATTTAGCACAAAATTATGGCAAAACAATTTCAAAATATCAATGTTGACAGTGTGTAGTGTCATCTGAAAAAGTTCTAGTACTTATTAAGAAGATCAGGACAAAATTTGGAATTATGGGTACAATTTATCACAAAATGAGCACAAAATTATCGTAAAAATTTGAAAATATCGGCACAATTTATCACAAAATAATAGTAAAAAAATGTGAAAATATCAATGTTGACAGTGTGTAGTGTCATCTGAAAAAGTTCTAGTACTTATTAAGATGATTAGCACAAAATTTGGAATTATGGGCACAATTTAGCACTAAATAAGCACAAAATTATAGTCAAAATTTGAAAAATATTGGCACAATTTAGCACAAAATTATAGTAAAATAATTTGAAAATATCAATGTTGACAATGTGTAGTGTCATCTGAAAGAGTTCTAGTACTTATTAAGATAATTAGCACACAATTGGGAATTATGGGCACAATTTAGCACTAAATGAGCACAAAATTATAGTAAAAATTGGAAAATATCGGCACAATTTAGCACAAAATTATAGTAAAAAATTTGAAAATATCAATAGTGACAGTGTGTAGTGTCATCTGACAGAGTTCTAGTACTTATTAAGATGATTAGCACAAAATTTGGAATTATGGGCACAATTTAGCACTAAATAAGCACAAAATTATAGTCAAAATTTGAAAAATATTGGCACAATTTAGCACAAAATTATAGTAAAATAATTTGAAAATATCAATGTTGACAATGTGTAGTGTCATCTGAAAGAGTTCTAGTACTTATTAAGATAATTAGCACACAATTGGGAATTATGGGCACAATTTAGCACTAAATGAGCACAAAATTATAGTAAAAATTGGAAAATATCGGCACAATTTAGCACAAAATTATAGTAAAAAATTTGAAAATATCAATAGTGACAGTGTGTAGTGTCATCTGAAAGAGTTCTAGTACTTATTAAGATGATTAGCACAAAATTTGGAATTATGGGCACAATTTAGCACTAAATAAGCACAAAATTATAGTACAAAATTGAAACTATCGGCACAATTTAGCACAAAATTATAGTAAAAAACTTTGAAAATATCAATATTGACCGTGTTTAGTGTCATCTGAAAAAGTTCTAGTACTTATTATGACGATCAGCACAAAATTTAGAATTATCGGCACAATTTAGCACAAAATGAGCGCAAAATTACAGTAAAAAATTGAAAATATTAGCACAATTTAGCACAAAATGTAGTAAATAGATTTGAAAATATCAACAGTGTGGAGTATCATCTGAAAAAGTTCGATCAGCACCAAATTTAGAATGATCCGCACAATTTAGCATAAAATGAGCACAAAATTATAATAAAAAAATTTGAAAATGTAAATGTTGACAGTGTGGAGTGTCAGCTGAGTAAGTTCAATTAGTCATTAAGGTGATCAGCACAAAATTTCAAATCAGCACAAAATAATTATGGGGTTTCAAGTATACAACTTCATGGACCCGTATGTATAGTAGATCTTCCGCTACATTTTGTTTCGACTAGATAGATTTTCTTAGATTTTGTGTGTATCAAGAGAATAAATTATAGTGACGTAATTGCCACCTTTGCCTAAACGAAATTTGCGGTGTAATGAAGTAGGCAAAAACTCCTCTCTCGTTAAAACTAAATTATTACGGGCATTACGGCACGAAAACAATGACCTTTGATCGTTTCGAGGTTATTGAATGACGAGAGTCATCTGAAAAATTTGATACACGAGCTTTTTTTAGACCCCCATCTAACCTCTTGTTACGCAAAATTTAATTACATGCCTGGTTCCATTTACAATAATTATTATTTTACGATAGATTTACGATCGATATAAGCTATGAATAGAAATTGCGAAACTGTTTATATTTGAAATTTGTTTACCTCTTTATTTTTATTGAGTATGAAAGGGAAGTGCACCGCCATTTAGTGAAAGTATGCGGGTGACAAAATGGAAATCTATCCACCCGTATGGTATGTGATATTAATATTTAACATGGGGGAGAAGTGCTTACATAATTTTGAATCAAGTTACAATACCTTTTTTGGATTGTTTTATTTTTTTAATTTTGCAACCCTTCTTTGGGGTATTTAGAATCTTCTTTTTTTGATTTTTGAATTTTTGTTAGGGCTATTCTAGTGTTTTGAACTGCTTGAGATTTTTAAATTTTGGGTTGAATTCGATCTTTTTAATTCTTTGAATATTCGGGAATCTTTGGTATTTTTCAAAGATTTGAAAATTTTGGAAACCTCGGAAACTTTATTAATGAACGTCGTTAAAGTAGAGCTTCCGGGTTTTGTTTGCTCCTGAATTCTCTGTAAAATTTGAAATTTGAAATTTTTTGCTTTGGATTTTTGAAATTGACGAAATCTTTAGACTTCTTGAATTCTTTTGGAAATTGATTGTTTCTAAACGTTGAAAACAGAAATTTTGAATTCTTTAACCTTACAATCTTGAATCTTTCAAATTTTAAGCCTTCTTGAGAATAAAAGTTTGATCTTGAATAATGAATTCCGAGGCTCTTTAATTTTGTATCTTAACCCTCGGTGATCTTGAACTTGGAGAATCTTGAATTCTGCGGATCTCGAACCACGAAGAGCGATCCTCGGACCTCTAATCTTAAATTTCCAATCTTTGATCCTTGATGATCTTTCTAAAATCTTGAATCTGGAGAATCTTGAGAACCTTGAATCATGTTATGTTCCGATCATCTTTACAATCTTGGCTCATAAGTTTCTGGAATTACTTTGTATTTGGAGTCTTGAATAGTCAACTTTTCTTATATAGCAAAGCTGAGTGTGAGACCTTCTAGAATGTTCTCCAGGAAAACACGTCATATTTCTCGAAAAGATTGCGTCACATCAGCCTTCGTCGTCTATCGCCGATGATTAATCTTTCACGGCGCCTCGATGTCTATTGAGATTTCTGGAAAATTCGCTACAATAGCTTTTGTGCGTCCTCCTCGGCGTCCCTCATTCAAGATTGTTGAAAATTGGAAATTTATCACACAAACTCCTTAAGAGCAATTTAAACACACATCCCTGTACCTTTTATTTCTAATTACGCATACGCGCTCTTTTCCGGTTTCCTGATCGAACAACAATTAATTTCAGTGCCAGTGACTGTACAGAAGACGTTGGTTAGCTTCATTTCATTACGACGTCGATCAACTTCACCGTTCGATTTACTTGTCTGCAGTACTATTAGAGCTCCATTTCCCATAATTACCGTAAATTAGACTTGCAATCAAGTGTCATTGCTCTAATGTTGGTTAACAATTGGTAAACAATTAATATGCAGTTACACGGTCATCCCAGGTGACCTGCTTGTCTATTAGTTCACCTAGTAAACCGTAACATTTGTTACCGTTTAAAATAGGGGTTGATGGATATAATTGAGAATTTCGTTGTTGGAGTTCAACATTTATTTCGTAGTGTAGGTACATCACTTGACTGTACCTACTCATTTATTTTCTGTACACAGTGTGATTGAACAAAATTAGCGCAAGAAAGGGAATTTTAAATAAAATATAGGACAATTTTTGCAAAACTTTCCAGTGGTGCGTTCCAGAAAGAAACTCATTAAACTGCTTCTACAGCGTTAGAGAGCTATCTCTTTTTCTTGTTCACTCGAAGATCTTAAGTAAAAAAGTATTTTATCGAATTTGTATTTTGTTCAGTATAGGAAAATTGATACACGTACCGCTTCATAGCGAACGTGAACGTAAGTATGTCTGGTGATAACAAGAAACGTATTACGCAAAACGAGCGCACACAATACCTAAAAGTTCGAGTCAAAACGTACTATAATGGGTGCGTTAAAAATAATTATATTGGAACACTAATTAGCGAGGGATGACACTGTATACTGTACGTGCAAAATTTTTCTACAGGTGAAGATTTATTATAAGTTGACAGTGAATTGCGGGGCGAAGAAAAAAAACTCTGTCGCAGCCTGATTCGTAGCAACGTCGTTCATTTATAAGTGATAAAGGCAAACGATAATTTCAGGAACGACTTAAAAATAAAAAAACAGAGATTTTTTTTGGAATTTTGGAACAGTATCGGCTGGTTAAGAGCAATGCATTATGTGATAAATAAAATTTTGCTACAAAGGCATATGTAAGGGATTTGAAGACAATTAATCGGTACGTTGATCGCAACAAAAAATCTAACTAATAAATTGGGCAAAAATCAGTGTCAGTTGCATCATTAGCCATTTCTGAAGGGTGCAGAATTCTGCCAATTCTAACCTGACAGGAATCTCATCCACATCAATTACTAAAAATTTTTGAATTATATAAGGTAGTGGTCGATTATTTTTAGGAATTTGCATAAATAATTTTGTTTGGAGTAATTTTAATAGTCCTAAAGGAATCGACCCGTGAAAACCATTTAACGGATTTTGTGTTGCACTTATTGATAAGAATTAAATTCAAAGAAAGGAATCTAGTCATTTTTGTTCATTGAATTTTGCATTTAATTTCAGTAATACTGTAGCGAATAGTCTAGAAATCCCGATAGACATCGAGGCGCCATGAAAGATCTTTCCTGGAAATATGATGTGTTTTGTTCTAGAATGTTCGAGAATATTCGGGACCACTCGTGTTTGCTATATAAGCAAATCGAATTGCGTTTCAGGACAGTTCCAATTTCAACGCCGAAGTAATAATAGTTATAAACTGTGTATATGTCCGCGATAAATAATATGTTCAATGTTATAAATCAATTCATATCAAAACTGTTCTAAATTTAATGTTAATTAATATTATATAAATAAATAAATTACATATACAGGGTACATTTTGTATGAAACACTGGATATATGTTCAAAACAACATTTTTTTAAAAGAAGCTTTTCATGGTATCCAAAATTACAAACAATTGGCTACCAATCTACGTGCTTTAAATTTGTAATCAGTGGTGTCCTTCTGCATGCTCACGGGAGGCATATTTTTTTAATGGCAATTACTAGTTTCGTTACAGATTATTAAAGAGCACACTTTACTATTAAACAATGAATCTTTTTAGCGCATTTTTGAAAATTGACTTCGGTATTCTGTCGTATCGGATTTTTATTTATCACTCACTTGCACTCAAATTAATCAATTTGCATATATGGCAAACGAAAACTTCTAGAACATCCTCCAATAAACACTTCATATTTCTCGGAAAGAAGACGCTTTCATTCCTTATCGCCGATGACCAATCCTTTATCGGGTTGATGGCGACCTGGTGGCGCCCCGATGTCCCTCTGGAAGATTCGCTACAGTCGTTAAGTTGGATACATAAAGCAACTAACGGGTCTCTATATGACGTATTCGCCGAAGTTACGATTTTAAATCCCAGGAACTCAAATCGTAAAATGTAAGTGCAAACATCTTTGAAAGATCTTTTGTCGGTTTCGAAGTCTCTTGATCCACTTATTAACGATCCTCGAGATTGTTTATAATTTTGTATTGCTGATGTCTGTCTGTCCGTCTGTCGGTGTGGTCGATAACTTTGTGTAGAAACGTGCGATCTCTTTGAAAATTGATACATATGTTCTTCAGGGTATAAGAAAGGGCACTATTGTTTTTCAGCGACGTAGACCAACGGGCCAAAAAGTTACAGTCCAAAAACTGTTCAAACCTCCAAAAAGGGTTTCTTTTATAACTCTTGTTACAAAGAACATATGAATGTACAGTTTTCTGTGTTAGTAAATAATCTTTAAACCTCAGGCAGATGCAAAAAATATTGCGTATGCGCATTCCAACTTTTGTATTTGCGCAATCTCAATTTTTTTTTATTTGTTATTAGATATTTAAATGCAATTTTGTATGTACGCACCTCGAATAAAAGTAAAACCGAGAGTAAAACTAATGCCCATTCAAAAAATCTGGGACAGAACCCCTTAAGATAAATTGCCTTTTTTTGCATGGCCGCCTCGTTATTATGTAAACTACACATAACTTATTTAAGATTAGAATATAAAAACCAGGAAAACCAAGATATTTCAAAAACTATCGGAGATAGGAATAGAACATTATTATTAAAAGGTTTTTGGAGGAGCTAAAAGATGACAGAAAAATATACATGGTGTTCCGTTTTAAGAAGTGAGATTTTTAATATGAAGTTTTGCAACTTTTGACCTACAAAAAAAACACCCTGTAAGCTATTTTTTAATGTTTCATAGTAGATGTACTTATACTCGCCGGCAGAAAAGATATAGAACCTGGAATCAAAATTTAAGCAATAATTTTGACAATATACTGACGCTTGCAAATTAAAAAAATGCATTCAAATACAGGGGGTTCCATTTTAAAAAATGTACCATTTTGGCGCCCTACTTTGTGAGCGCACCCTGTATAATTCCAAATATTTTTAAAATGTTGAGAATATTCAACCATATCATAATACAAAAGCACTCTATCGACAAATCTTATCTTCAAGGCATTACGTTACTCCGCGCAATCGTTGACTCACCCTGTACATCGCTTTCAGTCAGATTTAAGATAAATGAACAAGTTCTATTAACATACTGTTATTTTGAGCATTTCCCTATTTATCTAAGTGTGTATTTTTCCACATAATTAGAATAAAAATAAGGGAATTTATTGGTGCAATGGAATAAAGGAAGTTTGGTGCTGCAAACTAAGCAGCCTATAGAAAATATAAACCCTTATAATAATATACAGGGTGGTGACTTGCGTAACGCATCATAGGGATTTCAATGTAAAATTCATAACATGCGATTATTGGCTCCCCAAATTATCTTAGGGAAAAAATGTATTAAGGTTTTTTGTAGAAAAAATTTTTTTACGTCAATCAACCGTATTAGTTTTCAATTTTTTTCATATAAAGACGGAAAATTGGAAAAATAAAACCCGCATCTTTTTCAATAATCTGCGATGCCATGGAATTTTTCATCCATCGAACTGCAACAAGCCCAAATTGCTGGATCGATTTCGCGAAATATCCTAAACGGGCAGGTT